TCCTGGTGAATTTTGTTAGCTCTGACACTTTAGATTCGAACTTTTTCCTGGTGATGTTTTAAAAGGGAGATTGAGTTTGTGACATCTGCCGTGTGTTGAAGCCGGGTGGCAGGCTTACTGAATCTGCTTTAGCTTTAATCCTCCCCTAAAAAGCGTTTCACTTTCTCCAACTCATATATTTAACCTTATCAAATCATTAATATTTGACATGATGATGTTCAAGTTCATATTAAGGTAGTGTTTTGCCTAGTGATGTGAAGCAGTACTGTTCTTTTATCTTAGAAGCTTATAACATTATACAATCAAAATTATTGGATGCTCGTTAAAAAATTCCGATCGTAAGATTCATAAATATTTTCATTGATTCACTGTAAATAGTTTTGTAGATAATCTAACTMTTTGGCGATACTATATGATTTGATTAATCTTTTTTAATATCACAAGATTGTGGCATTGATATCACTATTTGATGATGATTGAAATCATTACATTAGAATATATTCGAGACACCCACATAAAATCTCTTACAGGCTATGAAACATTAACTATTATTARGTTTGGGCTGAATTTTAAGTAGTAATAGTGTAGCTTGATAGTGAAAATTAATTAATAATTCTGTAAGACTGACTGCAAAATCTGATTATGTCTAATTAAATCACTTGTGTACAAACAGTGATCATTCCTGTCGCTGCCTGTCAGTGTACTTACCATAACATTCACATAGTTGGAATTAAMTACAGTGTACATTATTGTGTTGATGGTAGAATATGTATTTTGCAAATTTATTATCTGTGTCAGGTAGATTATAATAATGAGTCTTTAACCATGTTGGAATAATGGCCTATTGATTCAATAACATCACACTGTTCAATCTTGCTGTCTTCATGGATGAATCCTGTTACCATAAAACACTTAGCCAAAGGATTTAATCAATTGGTGCAGAAGATACGGTTTCCCTTCCCTTAATGAACCATGCTTCCCCTATTTTGTCTTCCTTTGCGATCATTTTTGCTGGGTGCATATATCATCTGCATATTCATGCAGATAGACAGACCAACATAAAATTTATAAATGTTCCTCTCCCTTTAAAATGTTTGTCTTCGCCATTGCTGGGACTGCACTATTAATTAACGCCATGCCCTTGTCCTTGCATTTCAGCTTCTTCTGTAAGTGTTGGTGTATTTGATAACAGCAATGATGGCCACACCTGCAAGAAATCTTTCAGAAGGAGAAGATCATGAGGACACAGACTCCCAAGAACTCTTTGAGTCTTTCATGGAAATAACAAAACAACAAGAAGATCTTCAAACTGAGGCAAATGGGACATCAGCAACTGAAAATCACCAGAGTGAGGCAAATGGGACATCAGCAACTGAAAATCACCAGAGTGAGGCAAATGGGACTTCAGCAACAGTAAATYTTGAAAGCGAGGCAAATGGAGTGGCAAAGAGTATAATTGCAGTCAATGCTGATGCAGACAAAGAAMACGATGTCACTTGTACTGATTCGAATGAACAAAGCAGAAAAGATTTAAGTGATACCATCCAAACACCWACTGAAGATGAGCAAAACATGACAAAAAGGCTGTCCAAAGCAGTAGACGAGCTGTCTGATCTTGAAAAGCAGTTAAGTTTGATGATCAGTTCAGGAAGCTGTAGTACYCCTATAGACCTAGGAGATGACAAAGCTGATGGGAGTGCACCTCAGAGTGGACAAGATGAGAAAGTAGCTATTTGGGGGGATGAAGGAAGCGATATTAATAAAGCAGATACTTCAGAAAATGAGAATGATAATMACGAGAAAAGTGTTGATACTGTTCCGTCTTGTAAAGAAGGTGAAGCAAACTCACCAAATGAAAACAACGATGACGTTTTTGAAGCCACTAAAGACACTGATGAGAAGGAACTTGAAGCCGCAAAAAACTCTTCTGAAATTGAAAGTACTCCTAGTGAGGTTTTGTCAAAAATTGATACAACAGACAGWGAATCGGCAGTTACAGCGGAAAATATTGATAATWGTGTTAATAATGAAAAGGATGATGGTGCAAAGGCAGGGAAAGTGGAAAATAACAACATTATTGGTGATGTGGAAACTRGTGTCAAAGACGAAGATGTCGCTGAATCCCATGAAACAGCCGACAATACTGCATTGGAAACGTCAGTAGAAGAAAGCGACAAGACGCTGAGCTCAACGCTTGTTGACGAAAATCAGAATTCAACTGAAATGGAAGACGGTGATACTACAAYTGCAGTYGCTTCAACGAGTAATGACGTGTTGCCTGACGAAGCAGTGGCAAGTCAAACAGAAGCTAAAAAAATCGACACTGATCCTTCAACGCCTGAAATCGAGATTCTTATGACAGACGAGAGTGGCATATCAGAGCGTAAAAGTCTTGATTCCCTGGACGYTAATCTGGAGTGTGAAATGCGTCCTGATTCCCCTGCATTATCTGATGATGACATTGACTCTGATGCAACATCAATGGATGGATTAGATGACGATAAAACACCCTTCGATAGTGGGTTGGGATCAGATAGCAAAGACCGTCATCTACAGGTCGATCGACATCGTTTTGGATCTAATTCATCTACAATTTCCGAGAGGGAGTTTAGAAACAGTGGTATAGCAAAAGATGACATCGATGATCTAGGTAGGCATTTTACCTTTTTTGGTTTATCTTATTTACATTTTTACTGGTCCTATGTATTAGCAGAAATAATAAATAGAGGGACTACTGGGCCATTAATTCCCCCTACTAACTGTGGATGTACGGTATTTCTTTGCTTTGGTATCGGGATTATTGTAGTTATAGGAGTAACCAAATGAGCGGGTCAGTTTTAGCACAGTCATTTTGTATTGTCATTATTCACAGCCAAAGTTCACATGAAAGGATATCTTATGAAACTTGGCGGGTCTGGTTTAACACCAAGAAATTGGAGAAAAAGATGGTAAGGGAAAATAAATCAAGAAATTTCAAAGACAGATATCAATAAATGTGGCAATAAGCTACTTTGAAAGTGCGCGACCACTTGTCCAATAGGCTTCATTTCACACGTACCTGTGTCTGTGACTTTTTTAGTTACATGTTGTTCTGAGATGTATTTGATATTTTATTGATAACATTAAAGGTAGTGATTACGAGGTAGTTGTATTTTTTGCTGTATTTGATATTTTATTGGTAACATTAAAGGTAGTGATTACGAGGTACATGTATTTTTTGCAGGTTTGTATTAAAGGAAGATAATTGTTTGTATTACTACAAGAATTCTAAAGACAAAATTCCTTGTGGTGTTATCGTCTTGTTTAACTACTCGGTGACTAAAGCACCTGACTCCAACAAGAAATACTGCTTCAAACTGAACAAGGGTGGTGCGCGAACTTACCATTTCTGCGCTGGTAACGATGATGATATGAGACAGTGGATGATTTCACTCATGCAAGCTGCATCGGCCGTGTCMGCTACTGGGGTGAGTTRACTATTGAATTGTTACTTTTCAGTTTGTTACACTAAATACTGCATGATGCTGTTATATATTCATATAAGCAGACGAAATTTTTACTTTTGGTGTATAATTTCACAAATATAAAGCAGAGTCATCATTCCTATGGAATATACCCGAGTAAGCGCTCTAAGAGCGTTTAATAATCACTGCTTTATGATTGGCCGAATTCCGTCATCAGTTCTGTTTCTTGACGGCAGTGTGCAACAATTGACTTGATTAGTTTATGATGATAGCTAAATGTTAGTAAATAGATAGAGAACAACGACGCATAAGACAGAAAAYAAGCACAGATAAAACAACCAAAAGTGACGACCATCAAGTCGATTGAATGTCGATCTATCATTTTTCTGTTTATTTTGAATCTAATTATCCAGGCCAGTTTTCAAATCTTGGAAGGAAATGTACACAATGTCAGCATCCCAGCGCTGTCAATCAAAGATCCTGAGTGTCATGGTTATCTCTCCAAACAAGGCCAAGGCATCAAGTCGTGGAAGCGTCGTTACTGCGTGCTCAAAAACGGCTACCTTTATTACTACTCYGATATGTCAAACACCACAGCACTAGGGGTCGCAAGGCTTCTTGGGTATCATATCGAGGGCGGAGCATCACGTGGAAAGCTTTTCTGTTTCTATGCCAGCCCACCTGACGAATCAATGAGGGTTTACCACTTCGCTGCTGAAACAGAGAACGACCGAGAAAGGTATCTCAACTTTAGACCCTTAGACTTGATTCCACAAACCCATGCCAACAAAGTGTGCAAAATTAGAGTGGCAGACATCGTACTGGTAATACATTGACGTCCAAAACATCATAGTATCGTTACGTATGAAGAAAGTCGTCCGTGAAATATTTGCCAACAAAATGTTGCATATTAGTACAAAATCTTTTGTCTCTTCTTGACTAATTATGTAATAGTGTTTCATGGATATTTTGAATACACTCCTATCAATCCTATTTACACGTTAACAATTCCTAATTGTGTTTCCTTTAGTRATTTCATGTTATTCTTCATTGTTGTAGATGGATGAAACGAATGGAGGAATCAATTGCTTGTGGGAACATGTCGACATAATCTTACCTGATATTAGATCAGTTTTTAGATCAAAGCACTAAAATCCGTGAAACTAGAAATACTACTCTCTAATCAGTACTGCTAAGTCAGTAGTATTATGTCCGTCGACCGAGTCGTCCTAATCGCTATCAAATGCGTCTTTCCATTGTTGTTTAATCCGTCGATTTGACGATCATATGGACACAAGGCGTAATATTTATTTCGCGGATTTAGTRCTTCAACTCTACCAACTTTTTACAGTGCAAACCAAAATACCATCCAGGMTTTTCTTATATATATTACGGCCGCTGGCAAGAGGACGGGTATTTAATCTCTCGATAATCTCATACTTGAGAAAACAAGTTTATCTTTCTTTTTTTTTGTTGCCTAATAATATGACATTGGCGTCCAATTCAAAAACATTTCTGAAATATTAGTTACAATCCTAGGAATCGGGACCTTTGTTTTTGGCGCGCGGTCCAACAGTTTCCTGAATTGTATATATATGCGTCTTCTGCCCTGGTTTTTTGGTTCGCACGGTAAGTAAATATTTGCAGTCACTCGTTCTACTTTTTTATTTATATTTATGAAAATGTTCATTCATCAGACCGCATGTAGACTCTACAGTTTGCCGATTCTTTTTTTAAAATATTTTTGTCTTAGAAAGGGGATCATGGGCTCTACTTCCCTCTCCTAGATTACACATCTCTAAGGTACACTACAGGGGCCTGCGCAGTGGTTTGCTCCAGGGGTTTCATTCCTTCATTAGCAGACGAAGTAAATATGAAACTTTATTTACCTTATGAAACCCCTGCACATGCTCAGAGCACTCAATGGTAAATAGATAATAAATAGTAGGTACCAATAGACAGTGAACTAACATAAACCAAACATTGATTTTGTTTTATTGGRCAAAGATAGTCTTTTTGCTCTGTACGGCATACAGATGGTAGAGGGAAATGATGTCTTCTATTTCACAGATTGTCCACAGAGCTGAACTGTCATCGCGCGATTTGATATTTCTTTATTTTTTTTCTAATATAGTATTGCTTTATAAAACTTTTGAAAAATTTATTTTAGATAAATAAGAGTAGAACTATAGTTATATTTCATGTCGCGGTATTTAGATTAATTTGATGATTTTAATKTGATACATATACAAAAATGAACTGGTTGAAATAAGGTAAAGAACTAAATGTTTGAATAAAAAGAGGTTTGTATTTTATTGATTTCCATGGTTTATTACACATAATTCATATACAGCCCTGCTATTTAGGTAATATCACATAGTCACAGGGCGCCCTGATTATTGAATACATTGAGAATACACGATAGGTATATTGTATTATATGTACAGTATATATTATACAATTTGGAGTATGATAGTCGTTACAAACACCGCGCTTTTGATTTAAAATGCACAACTGTTGAACACATGCCGAATGCAACCTGTGTATGTCAAGCATACAGCATGTATGCAACGTAAAAATCAAATTCATCTTTCAGGAACTTGTAACCAACAATGAATTTTCAYATTATTTTGGGCATTGGTATCTATTCCTTGAAAGGCAGCCTTGAAAGAGAACGAAAACGCTACAAAAACGTACTCGACAAGTCAAATATACGTTTCCAGTACGTTGCTCATATTCTTGGGGTTAATGACATCATGATGCTGTCTTTTGGTCTTGTAACAATTTCTGCGCACACCTTCATGTCATCCGGGGAATGTTCAGACTTCACGTTGAAATGTCGAAGAACATACGCCAGGACCATTTTTTCCTCCAAAATCGCAAATTTCTGGCCTGTTTAAGAAGGTAATTACAAAGATATTCATCAATACTTCCTAGTATTAGTTCACAGTTTTTTCCTTTATTTTAGATTCCCATTATTTATCTTCTTCTCTCCCTTTCTCTATTTCGCTTACATGTTGCGCAGTCTCAACATTTACATTTCTTGGTTAATGAAGGCCTGGCCTGTTGATACGAGTGCCTCCAGACCCTCAGGACTAATTTYAATTAGTTAAAATRCAGGAAAGGTTTCATTATTAAGTATTAAATACTRCCTACCGATACAATTTCGTGGTCCAGCAGAGAAAGGCACGTATGCATAGGGATGACGACCTTGGCTGTTCTCAGGTAAAAACCTGTCAGGATCAAACTTGTACGGATCTGGCCACACCTTTGGATTCGTGTGTAAAGCGAACGTGGCAGTGCCGACCGTTGTCCCTTTAGGTACAGCAACGCCATCTAGAACAGGTATCATCAATAAAACATCGTTCAAACACAAGAATCATTACTAGGATCGTGCGCGAAATTTATATAGATGTAATTCACGTTATCATAAAATTAGTCAAACAACACACCGATTGTGAAATCTTCAGTAAGCTCCCTGGCAAAGAATGGTACTGAAGGATACAAACGAAGAGCCTCCTACAATATGGACAAATACTGATTATTATTAATGAAATATTAATTTTTATTTGTCATCAAATATCATCGTTATCATCTGTGAATCAATATCATTATCATCACTAGTTTAGATGATGCTAATTACCTTGATTACACATTCTAAGTATTTCAAGTCTTTGAGCGATTCCACGGTGAGAGTCTCTGGACGAGATTCTAATGAATTACAAGAAAATGATCAACATTATTACACTCGCAAAAGACTACTAAAGGGACTTTTCTTTGATATTCACCAAAAAATGCATCCACTTCTTCTTGTGCTTTTTGTTGTACTTCTGGGTGGTGTCCGAGCATAAAAATCGCCCATGACATGGCAGCAGCAGTCGTATCATGTCCCTGCAATGCACAACATCACATTTGTGTACCAAACATCAATTTTGAATGTGAACCGAAGGTCGTGGGTTCGAATCCCAGAGAGGTCGGAAATTAATTTTTTTCGAATTAATTCCTAACCTAAGGGTCTTTCTCCCTGCCTCCTTCTAAGCACTATTACCGTCTTTCATTTCTATATCTTATAATACTATGTTCAACGTTTGGTCCAAGGAACATGTGTGCTTTGAATTTGTTAGCTAGTTCTGTTTGTTGCCATTTGTGCGATTTTCTCTACGTTTGTTGGCTTCTGTCTCTCTCTCCAACGCCACACAAGGATTTATTTTTTGACACAGTTAATGATATTGAGGCCGAATTCCGGATAATTCATCCATGACTGAATCACAGACGATTGTACATCCCTTACTCTCTCACCTCAAACATAAATGTATCAACCTCCTCACGAACACCCTCTTTATCGATTTCTCCATCATCGTATGCATTGAGCAGTAGATCGAGGAAAGCTAGTGGACGTCGCTTGCGTTTCCCAGTGAATTCATCAACTTGTGGTTTTTCATCTTTCCGGCTTGAGCTCAATCTCTCATTAATACGATCATCAATGATCTAAAACAGAAAACAAGTTAATGATGATGATGATGATGATGATGATGATGATGATGATGATGATGATGATGATGATGATGTAATGATGGTTTACTGTGGAATATGATTGGAAACAATGTTAATATCATGATGAGGATGATTATTGTCAGATGGTATCATGT